AGCCCTGCAGCCACGTGTTGTCACAGGTGCAGCTCAGCGGACACTTGCGCAGGTCCACGTAGCGCAAGGAGGACAGCCGGCTGGCAACACTGGCATTGAAGGTCTTCAGCTCGTTCCTGGCCAAGCGCAGCACCTGCAGCTGGCTGAGGTTGCCGAAAACTTCCAGAGTGAGTGAGTGCAGACCTACATTCTCCAGGTCCAGGAACTGCAGGTTGCTCAGGTTTCTGAAGATGCCCTCAGGCAGGTCATGTATCCCATTGCTGCTGTCAGCCAATGTCAGGGAGCGCAGCTTGCCCAGGTCCTCGAAGACATCTGGTGGGATGGCCCGCAGCATGTTCTGCGACAGCGACAGCCACTGCAGCTCCACCAAGCCCTGGAAGAAGTGGTGAGGCAGCATCTTCAGCCCATAGGGCTGCTGCGCCTGCAGCTTAAGGTCGTACAGGCTGCTCAGGTAGCGGAAGGGTGGTGGCTGGCGCAGCCACTTTGAGATGTACTGCAGGTTGTTGGCCCGCAGGTCCAGCACCCCCAGGGTAGCCTGCACCGGGGCAAACACTCTGCTGCTCACCTCCAACAGTCTGTTGCGGTCCAGGTACAGCCTACGCAGTTTGGACAGTCCCTGCAGTGACTGTGAGGCCAGGTGGCGCAAGTTGTTGCCCCCTAAATCCAGCGTCTGCAGCTCAGACAGCCCCTGGAAGACACCGGGGAAGAGGACGGAGACACGGTTGTTGCGCAGGTTGAGGGTGCGCAGGCTGTGGAGGTCAATGAAGGAGTTGTTGTAGAGATCAGTCAGCAGATTGTTGTCCAGACGCAGCTCTGTCAGGTTGTGCAGCCCCCGCAGTGCCTGCCTGTCCAGAAACACCAGACTGTTAATATTGAGCTGCAACACCTGCAGGGCCGGGGCGTAGGCGAAGGCATGGAACCCAACAGTCAGGATGCGGTTAAAGCGGAAGGAAATGTTGTACAGCCGTGGCAGCACCTGGGCCCCCTGACAAGACGGCAGTTTCTTCAGCAGGTTGTGCTCCACTGTCAGCACTTCCAGCTCCTCCTGCTGCTTCTTGCTCAGCAGCTGGCCAGCACAGCCCACCTGCTGCAGCCGGTTCCCGGACAGGTCCAGCTCTTGCAGCACAGGACACGACGCCAGCGCATTACACTGCAGCACCTTCAGCCCGTTGCGTTGTAGCCGCAGCCGCTGCAAGGCCTGAGGACCCTGCAGCCTCAGGCACACCTTTTTCAGCCCATGAGTCCCCAACACCAGCCCAGAGAAATCCAGGCTGCGAGGCTGGATGTCAGAGATGTCCAACAGGCGGAAGACATCCAAGGGGTTGCCCATCAGGTGGAGCAGGCTGATGTTGCGCAGGTGGAGCTGGGCGAAGGCCTCCGCCTGTGAGATACTGTTGTAGGAGAGGTCGAGTATCTTCACATGCCATAGCATCTCCGGGCTTCCCCCTGCTAAATCCCCCAGAGAGTTGTTGCACAGCTGCAGGGTGTGCAGCGAGGCGGGTAGTGGTGGGCCTGGCCCCAGCGTTGTCAGGTTGTTTTCACATAGGTCCAAATGCTCCAGCTGTGCCAAGCCCTGCACCGCCACTGCCACCGCCCCCAAGCCGTTCAGCTGCCCGCCCCGCAGAGACAGACGGCGCAGGTTGAGCAGGGGGAGCAGAGCACCAGGTGACACCGTGCTCAGGGGGTTATGCTGTACCCACAGCGAGGACAGGTTGCCCAAACTGTTGAACACCCCTTCGGCGAGTGTGGTCAGACGATTGTGAGACAGGTTCAGCATCACCAGCACACCCAATCCATTGAAAGCACCAGGGGAAAGGGTCTCTAGATGGTTGTAGGCCAGGTCCAGGGTGAGCAGCCATGGCAGGCGGGCAAAGGCAGAGGGCTGCAGGCAGCGCATTAAGTTGTACGACAGATTGAGTGAGACGGCGTGTGGTGGCAGGTCAGACACTGCCAGGGCCGGCGACTCCAGGAAGCGCTGGATGCAGCGGAAGCGCAAAGATGGCCTGACATCCTCAATGCAGTTGCGAAAGCCATATGGGTGCACCTTTGGCATCAGTGTCACTGTCACCAGCAGCAGCAGCAGCAGCTGGGGTGGGCAGCAGTGGGGGGGACAAATCCTGGTGCTGGGCCTGGGGGACACAGGGAGGGTCAGGGGCTGGGGCACAGGGACCAGAACAGCCCAGTGCTGCCAAGGATGATTCACTGACCCCAACCAGTATAACCAAGTACTGCCCACCATGACCAGTATAACCCAGAGCACTACTGCTGCCCTCCTCCCTGCAAAACCCAGTGCAGAACTGGCTTGGCATATGGAGTTGAGAATTTGGGGACAAGAACTCTGTGTAAGATGAGGAGTGCTAGGGAAAGGGATGCAGGGATTTGCCGACAGGAAGGGTGCAGGGGATGGGACCAGTGCAGGATTGGGGGCAAGGACAGGGACAGAGCCATATAGGATCCCCCCTTTTCCCCTCTTACCGCGCCTTCTCCTCTGCTGTCTCCATCATCCTCAGCCGCTGTCTCCTTTCTGGGGTGAAAAAGGGAAGTTGTGGTATCACTTCATGTCACCACTGACGTAGGTGGTGGGAATTGCTGTCACATTCTAGAGGAGCAGCAGTGGCACCTGTCCCCAGTGCCCATGCCACCTCCCTGATGCTCTGTGTTGTGACTCCATGCCCCCCATATTCTCATATCTTTCATGTCCCTCATGTCTCCATGATCTCCTACATTCCCTGTGTCCCTTGGGTTCCCATGTTCCTCCGTGTTCCCACAATCTTCTATGCCCCCATGCCCCTGCAGATCCCTTGTCCTTCTAGCCCTCAATAATCCCCATGTCACTCTGTCATCATGTCTCCTCTTTTCCCCTGTTCTGCATGTCCCCCCTCCCTCTGTCACAAGATGCTGCTATCACTTCCCCTACCCTCAGCCCCCACAGAGCTTCCTACTGGTTTTGGTTCCTCCACTAGGTTATATAATGAAGGACTGGGCAGAACTGGATTGTACTGGGAGGGGGGAAAGGACAAAACTAAGGGAAGCCAATAGAGTGTGACAGATCTAGAGGCATCTAACGAGCTCTAGGGGCTAACAATCACGGTTTGACCCAGGGTCCAAGGGGCTCCAGCACGGCACAGGATGAGCAGCTCCAGGAGGTGGTGGGAGAGTATGAAGTGATCATACAGCACACAGAGCCACCACATGGAAGCAAGCTGCTGACACATCAATCCTGATTCTCTCTCCCTCTTTCACGCACCGGCTGTGGGGATAGTCAGTAAGGCACAAGCAAGCCAGCTGCCAGCAGTGTGGTTCAGCCCTTCTGTTGAGTGCTGGATCACCAGGGGTAGGGACATTGGAAATCTAGAAGAGGAATAAGCCCCACTAACCTGGCCTGGAGCACCTCCTGATGTGGAGAACCCACAGCCCCTCTGGGCAGGTGCGCCGGGGCCCTACAGCCCGCTGAGTGAAGAACTTCATTTTACCAGCTGACCTAAATTTCCCCTCTGTTAGTCTAAAGCCATTCTCCCTTGTGCTATCAGTATTAGACCATGTAAAAGGTTGGTCTCCCTCCTGCTTGTAAGCTACCTTTGAGTACTGGAAGGCTGCAGTGAGGTCTCCCTTGTAGGTAACAGTAAGCTATGCTGCTTGTTTGTTCACGTAATTCTAAAACTCTAAGTGTAACCACAGCCCTGTGGTCTGATTTCCTTCTGTGGGGATTCCTAAAGTACCTGCCTGTCCCCATAGCATCAGAACTTGCCATAGTTGGTAGGATCCTAGGGTAAGAATGTCTGGTTCCCCTCATCAATGGGATGCACTGCAAGAGTTTCATGGAATATGAATGGCAAGATCCAAATGGGATAGGGAATGGCTAAGGGCAGTAAGCTGCAATCCGAGAGTCACATGGGGCAAACTTAACGAATGGAAAGATACATGGGAAGAAAAAGACAAGAGGAGAGAAGGATGCTGTGTACACAGTAAGCCCGCTGGTGTAGAAAGACTGCACGTGACATGGACTGGAACTGCTGCTCTGAACTGTGATCAACAGCATAAACCCCCTGTCGTTTCGGCTTCTTGAATAGCCAACCTATTTTAAACCCAGTTTGTCCCACAAGGCGCGAAGCTCTCTGAGTCTCCTCTCCTGACAGCAGGTCCGAACTCTCCCCCAGGAGGCGCTGCTTCTGGAGGCTGCGGTGTCCCCATCATCACATGCCTTCCTCAGAGCTCTCACTGTGAGGAAAAAAGCATCCGTCTCATTCGTTACAGGCAGGTAATAAATGAGCCCGTGAAAACAGTCTGCAGGCACTAAGGAGTTACAGCATCCTACCAGGAAATGTCTGCTGGCAGCCAATGGAAGGAGCGACAAACAATGCAGATGACTCATGGCTCCAGCAGCAGAAAGCAGAGCTGTGCTGGCCATCTGCAGCAGCTTTGCTGTGTCACTTGTCCTTTTATGCCCGCGTTTTCAAATGTAAGTTGATATTTGCTTCCAATTTCTTTTAATTGAGCATTTGAATGTTAGCTTAACCTAGAAGAGCTTCCCCCATCCTAAGAAAAACATCTTCACTATAAGTTAATTTTTTAAAATGGAAACCTGAAATAAATGGGTTTCTATAATCTGCCTCCTGCCCATCCCAGCCTGGAGAAGATGGAAAAGTTGTCTGACACTTTTGGTGTCGTATTGAAAGGAACACAAAAACCGTTGGAGAAAATCATCTGAGAAATACTGGCTTTGTGATTGCTCCCAGTAATTAGCTCCCAGGCTTGTGGATCATGACACGTGTATGAGAAACAGAAACTGAAATCTCAACTTAGAACAATAAGCTCCAGGTCTGTCGAAATCAAATGAATTTTGATAGAATTCCAATGGATTTCCAACTCAGCAGTACCACAAAAATAATCAGATTTTTAAAAACAAATACAAAACAACAAAAAGTTGAGCTGCAGCTGGGTTTATTTCCTGTAGAAATGCCCAAGGGAATCCACAATTCAGTGCTTCCTGTACACAAGGAAGTCGCTGTCTGAAGTTAGACAGCAAAATGTCATTCTTGTGACCAAAATAAGGCTTTGCTTTCTCTGTAAATACAGCCTACTTGAATTCAGATATGCAATCCAACTGCAGCCGACCTTCAGCACGACATTCACTGCAGTAGTGCTGCTTACATCGCCTGAATTCAGCCTGACTGCTTTATGTCACGTTTTGATAATGTCCCATCAGATATGCAAGGAAGATCTTAATTTCCTTTTATGTGTGGATCTCATGAAAAGCAGAAGCATCCAGGCTTCTGGGGATATGACACACTACTGGTTTTATCAGTGGAATTGTATCAGCCTGCATCCAACCTCGTGGTTCTCTCCTATTTCCACTGCCTGCGTTCCCACTGATGGATGAAATTCCCTTTCCTAAACTGCCTCTCACCTTTGCTGCTTTTTACAGGGACTGGAAGTTGCTGCTTCAGGAAATAGCAGATGTCAGATGCTGTAAGCCTGAATGCTTTCTTCCTGCCTTCTCTTGGGTTTTTCCAGCATCATGGACTCACGGGGATAGCAAGTGATGAGCTACACGTCTCTCTGCTCACTCACCCACGAGGCATATAAGAGAAGTTATCTTTCATGAGAAAAATAAGGACAGGCTACGCCGAAAGAGGTCCCCACATAAATTACGGGCAGTAGTCACAGCCTGCTATTCAACTCCAGCACCATAATTTTTGTTTATTGTCCAGATTACGGTCTAACCAACTAGAGGCAACAGCAGCTGAGATCAGACCTGCAGAACTGCAGTGAGGAAGTGCCAGGATGCAGTGCTCCTCCCTCCTGAAAGACGCGTTCATGTAAGGAGACGCTTACAGGTGAGTGGGATTTCTAATCTTTGCTACACTCCATGATGTTGCTGAAGTACTTATGCTCAAAGACACTACAATAAAAATGCCAGATCTACCTGACATGGTTGGATAGTATTCTGCATAAAGTCAATTACAGCAGTGAGACAAATGGGAAATTCCTCGTATTTGGTGAATAATAGTTTAATGTTCCCAAAGGTCAGATATGAATATTTATATAATTTTAGTTTAAAAAAGCCGAACAATTTAAAGCAGCAGCTGCCAAAGCACTTTTATAAAAGTTTAGGAAACTAATTAGTACAATTCACGAGGTTTCTAAGTGTGAACTGTTGTTAGACTTTGTTTCAGGAAGAAATGTCCATGATCAGATGAAAATGTGACTTCATCTCAACAGCATTCTTCTCAGGAGGTCAATGTGGAATCTGCTGGCACAATTTACTGAGCCACTCAAATGCTCATACTTTTAACTTTAGGATTTATACAGCGGTGGAAGATTACCTGTCTCTTTTGGAACTGCCATATGCTTTTAGTTGCCTAAGTGAATGAGACAACCCCAGATTGTCTGTAAGGACGTGGATCCTAGTGGGCATGGTGGAGATGGGTTGATGATTGCATTAATGTTTTAGTAGAGGGTATTTAAGTAAAAGCAGTGTCAGATTTTATGTGCAAATACAGCAGAAGAGGGGGTTCTTCTACGCTGCACGGTTCAGCAGTACAGCAGGATGTGGGTGCGTGGTCAAGTTCATCCTACCATTGCTTCTTCCCCTACAGGTTTCTTTGTTCCTAACTTGCCCACAGCCTGCTTTCTCTCTTCCAGCACACTCTCTGCTTCTGCCTTTAATTTTGCAGGTTGCAGGTTTTTAATCAAATAACTCTATTTTAGACCATCTGACCTGTGGGTTATATATATAGATATATGGTATCATTGGGATGCTTTCTAGGGTGTTAGAAAAGGAAGAACATATTGGAGTGCCAGCAAAACTTGCTGAAGGTCATAGACATGCAGTGAATCAGAATCAAATGTTTGGAAGTTTTTTAACTGACTGCTCTGCCTGTCAGTGCCTAACGTAATGTCCTGCTCATTCAGCTGCTATTTAAGTTACTTGCAAACAAAAATGATGGAGAAAGGAGAAAAGAAGGCTCCCAGGAGCAAATGTAGCTTATAACCTGAAATGTAATTCTTACTGATTTAACCAAGTTTGATTTTTTTTTTAATTTTAATTGAAAATTGAAGCTCAATAATGCAGGAAAAAGAATCTCCTCAGAGAAGATGTTTGGACAAACTTTGACATAGAAAAATCCCTTCTCAAACCAATGAACTTGCTCTTGGAAATGATGAGAACATAAATATGGATCCCCAACTAACAAACGTTTGTTTGTTGTTTTCCAGTTTTGGAGTACTGTCCTGGGAGAACCTAAGCAGACAGGAACTTTGTAAGGGTATTTCTCTATTGCTTGTCTGATGTTACTGCGCCAGTCATTTCCCTTACTGTAGAGAAATGCTAACATAAACAGCACAGTCTATTCAAATGCGCCTTTGCCTTTTATTACGGTTAGAACAAAGTTTGTAAAGCATTATGTAATAATTATTGCAATCTAAGAACAATCCCCATTCTATAGAGGCAGACACTGAGAAAGGCTCCTCTGCTGCGGGCTGAGTTCTGCTCACCAGCTGACGGTAGGGCTCCTACATTTTGCAGGCTGAGAAAGACCTTCTCAAAGCGTTACACAGAGCGAACTGTGCTGGTATTCGCACAGCTTTCACGTCCAGCTGCCATCTTGTGGCTGCCCAACGTAACTTCTATCCACAATAGGACTGACATTATTACAAGGCTTTGCGTAAAACTGCGAGCTTAGGTTACATCCACAGCAATGGCACACATACCCGAGGTATCCGTGCATGCACTTTCCGGTGCTTATGTAGCTATTCGTTTGTGACTTATTGTTTGGAGCGAGTTATTTATCTTGAAATGGCCTGTTGCAGTAAGTAGTCATGGTCACTGTTAAAGGCTAGCACACCTACTAGCAAGAGTGTTAGCGCTTCTAGTTTTGCCTCTGAAAGCAGTCTTTGTTTTAATGTACATGAAATAACTTATGCTGAATATCACATAAGAGTTCTGAAGTCTCAGAATTTATTTAAAAAGAAAATCAAAGGATGTCTGAGGTAGAAGCTACTTAAACTGATTTAATCTAGTTCAGCCAGCTGTTCACAATAGCACAGTTAATACCCAATAACATTCTTAGTGTAGTTGCAATATATTGATGCCAAACATATATACAATCTGATTTGAAATGTGGTATTTAAAATGCTTTATTCCTCCTGCAAGATGTGTAGACCTTCTAAATGGAACTTTTACTGGTTTAAATAAGGAAGCAAACTCTACTGCAAGCTACAATCTGATGTGCACAAAGGTTTGTGCAATCTTAAGTTTACTTCCATACAAGGACATCACTTGATTCTTTGATCTTTGTGGTACGAAAGCAGGAAAGCTTTTGTCTTTATTGCCTTTCTGGATATGCTAAAGAGCTGGAGAGTACTCTTTGGTGCTTCCAGTTCATTTAAGAGTTGAAGAAAATAGACACTGTGAAGTTTTCTGACTGGTCTTCTCTAGAAACCATCTCAACTGCTACCCAAGGTTGTAGAAATCAGCGTCCTTCCAGTCGCCAGCTGTATCAGACTGGGAAATGCAAGTGAGAGCAAGTGTCAGCCTCAAGTAGAAACAAGCTAGTTCTAGAACCCAGGCAGGCGTTCTTGTACGTACTGGTTAGAAAGCATTCATTCCAAAACCCAGACAGTGTTTGGATGGATATTATGTCCAGAATGACTGTGGCAAAGGTACTGGAGATACTTGAGAACTGATTCCTCCCTAAGTGTTGAAGTGTAAAGAGCAAATCCCCTGCAGATGTACCTTAGTTTTCCCCACCTTGTACAAGAACCAACACATCCTTACTGCAGACATAGTGTGGAACACTAAACTCCTGCCACTTGGATGCTTGAAGGACAACACGCTATAGCTAGCGCAGCGTACATATCTCCGTACGGGGCTTTGCTCACCTTCTCCTGCATAATCAAAAACTGGATTTTAAATTGGAAGCTGGAGAAAGAGAAACAGGGTAGGCTTGAGTCAGATTCTACACCCACTAACGTGTTAAAATGCAAAGGTGTTCTATGCAGTTCGTTACCACTACGTATCAGCATACTCGAGTGTTACATATACTGTCACCATAAAATGGCAGTGTCAGTATTCTAGCTCCTGACAAACGTGAATTGAGCAAACATTCTGTACTCTTACCAGTGTTCCTGTGCTATATTTTTTTCCCCAGGAGACAGCACTTAATGCATGCAAAGGTTCAGAAGTATTCATACTGAGACAGGTGTACACAACTCAGAGGTGAGTACATTGCATGTTTTTGAGAGTCTTACAAGATTATATCCTAAGCTTCTTGACTCTCTTACCAGTGCTGGCATTGCATAATAAAACACTTCGGAGAAAAATGTCCCAAACTCTTTTTTGTGTCCCTAACAAGGTCAACTATATTTAGTTAACAAAACCCTGTTTTACCTTCTTACTTCAGACATCCTTTGCCTAGAAGTCACTTTGAACCTCTCCTTGAGAAGGCCTTAATGCAATGGCAAAATCTAGACTTTCTTGGGTGTTTTTCTTTTTTCCCTAAAATGTCAGTTTGGGAAAAAAGCATCTACAACTCATTTTCTTAAACAGCAAGGACAACTGTTTTGTGATTACTCAACAACCCTATCAACTCTCATTTTCAAAGTGATGTTGGAACTTGTTGCAGGCCTACCCATGTCAAAAGAACTGAAGATTGTGTACCTAGATAAGAGCTAACTTTACACTGAACAACTCATTTTTTACTGAGACGATGGCTGCTGGAAGCACAGGCTGCAGAAACAGTGTAGGACAGCAGTAAAAATTAGGACAGGTAGCCTACAGGTCTGTGCTCTGCCACAGCAACAGAGGCAATTAGGTGAAGTTGAATTAAGCGAATCTAAAGGCTCAACAGCTGCACGCTCACCCCCTTATCTGCACTGATACAGCCTTAGATTCCAAGACAAAGCTGCTTAGGAAAGAGTTTGGAAGAAAGTTTTCAGGGTAATTCTTCTCTATTTTCATTTTTTTTCCCAGGTCACCTGTTTACAAAAACTCAACCAAGTAATGACAGAGAAAATCCCTCTTGTAGCACCAAACTTGTCAACTATTCTACTTGATAGCAGTATGAATAATGCAGGAAGAGAAAATATTCTTGAGATGGATCTGGCAAATTCTATCCCACGGAACACAACAAAGAAAGATCTCTACTTTGAAACATATTCAGCTCAGCTATTCCAAGAAAAGGATAAACATTACTATTAGTGCTACATGTACGTGTTTTCCAAGTACAAGAGTCTGTTCTCAGATCTTTGCCCTCTGCTGGTGTCATCCAAAGCATGAGCTGACTGTAGAAACACTTTTTCTGTATTCCTCCTACCTTTGGAAATAAATCTCGAGCCACAGGGAATTAACTAACTTGTAATGACATCTGCATTTCCAAGCATTTAGTTCTGACCAACAGCTGCCAGATTTAGAATAGGATTTTCTGTAACTTAAGAAACAAATTCCTACAGAATTCCTGAAAAACATGAAGCACACAGCAGTATGTGCTAAAATCTTCCTGGGAGTAGTGACCTATTAACAAGCGCCCAAAGAAGAGCTAGTAATTAAAAAGGAGTTCTCCCATCAGTTTTAACTTTATTATCAACTGAAGAGGACTGGAATGAAACATTATATTCTGTTGCTGTTCCATTTCCAGGTCTCATCTTACTCCTTTTGTACTTTCTGTTTTTCTTGCTAGATCACCCAGGCTCTAACAGTAGAAGGCCATTTTGTATTCTTCCCTTGTCTTGTCTGCATTCAGGCAAAGAAAACAGTTACCATTAGGACTCACCCCTGGCACTTCAGCACAGATCACAAACTATGCACCTTGAAAACCAGCGACAGGTAAGACTCAATTTCCATTTCCAGAGGGCAGTGTTCTCCCAGATCCCAGATTGTAGTTCTAAGCTATAAAAGTAGCTACTCACTGTTGAAAATGGTGACTAGTGAACCACTTATTTCCTTATGTGGTCTCAGATTTCCTGCTGACATGGAAACTGCTTTTGACTTGTGAAGCTTGCCTCTGTCTGTAGGTGAAAAGCTCAGTTTCTTGTTTGTTTGTTTGTTTTCTTATTATTTTTGCTGGTTGGTTTCAAACTGGCATGTGATCTGGCTGGCCATCCTTTTCAATTTACTACTGAGTGATGGCATGATTTGAGCATTAAACAGTTGACCCATCCATGCAGGAAAATTCATCTCAGAACTCTGCTGTCAACACTCAGAAATCAGAATGACAGAGGCACAGTCTCCAAAGTAACAGTGGTCTTTGGCTTTTAATTTTCCCTTGGTGTACTGTACTCACTGAACAGTAAAACCCCTAGTGGCAGTGCTAAGTATTCAAATTGGCACAAGCCTAATTTGTTTTGTGAAGAGGCAGAACCCAGCGCTCTTGTTCATTTTTACCAGTAGTGTTAGTGGTTTTTCTGTTTGTTTGTTTTGTTGGCCTTTGATATATATATATACATATATATATATCATATATTGAAGTTCCTGTTTCCACAGCACGTTTCAAATAGTTCCACAATCCTGAGTCCCCTGTTAGCTGCCCTGCTACCAGCTACAGGACAACATTTCCTATTTGCGTAGAGCCAAAAAGTTTTGGATGAGGTTTGATCCAGTTGGTAAGATGAATGAATTGGGCCAGATTGGAAAATTTCTTCCTCTTTAACAATCCAAAGACTTTTGAAACACTTTTTTTGTTTACTATCAGAGTCATCATGGAATCATTTGAGTTGGAAGGGGCAAAGCAGCCATTGCATAGGTTCCCTCCTGAGATATCCTGCTGCTGTGACTTTTGTTGAGGTTTGTTAACTGGACTTGGAATGACAATGACTCACTTTCCTCTGTCATAACCTGTTGACTGAAGTCAGTCGCTCCTGCAGACCATGGTTTTATTCCTCTCATGGAAAAAGCCAGCTGGATTAAAAGATCACATCAACCCACTGCTTGCAGCAATCACCAAGATTGGTACAACAAATTCTAGTTTTGGACCTCAGAGGGGAGGAGTGCAATGTGCAACATGGTAAATACTATGCAAGTCAGATGACACCTTATTTCCTTGACTTTAGAAGACAGGGAAACAGATTATGAGTTTTTGGGATCACACAAAGGAAAAGCAGCTGTTATTAATCTTTCCAGCTAAGTGAATTAAGAAATATTTCTCACACAGGACCTCAAGTCTTAGAAATTTTACATTACACATATAAATTATTCTATTTTTACTTGCAAACAGTCATGCAGCCTTAAAAAAAAAGGCAGTGATAGCAGCACTTTGGAGAGGTAGGCTTAAAGTGTTTGGTAAATGGAAAAACATTAATACCTTACATCCATGTTGTTCTCTGTGTATGTCTGCAGCTCAGCGTGAAGTTAAACCAGACAGAAGAGATCTCAAGCTGATTGTTTTTGAAGTCATGGTTCTGCTGACCTGCAAAGGAAAATAGTAAGATCACCTTTGTTACAATGAAAATGAGGTTATAGAAATGCTGGGTTTTCAACTCACAGAGGGATTCCTTCAAGCTGCAAAGCACTGAAATAACATGAGAAAGTTCACTAAACAATCTACAAGGATTTCAGACACAAAACCTATATTGTTCTGTTCCCTGCATTGCATTTGTTCTCTGCAGTTTCAAACTGCTTACCTAATTCAATCATTTGGCATGCTGTAATATTAGATTTAGCAGTGATGTGTTTTCTAGGCACAAGTGAAATAAGAAATTTGTTAATTCACATACTACAATACTGCTAGAATCATAAACTTCAATGAGAAATTGCTTTTATATACATTCATTAAGCTTTTAGACTGCCTTGAGATAAAACTGTTACAATCAAAATCAGTATAAGAATGTGTTGAAAATGGTTTTGCCAATTAAAGGCTGACCCCGCTGTTGGTGGTTGTTTTGTGGCTTTGTTTTCTGGTGTTTTGTTTTCTATTTGCACTTTAAGTGGGATCCTTAAACAGACCAGCATAGCTGATGAAGAGGAGAACCACTGACTTGGTGTTGAGCTTGTATGGAAGGATCAGATAACCAGAGTAAAACAGATCATCATTCATTAATTTGGGAATTACTTATAGAAATTTATGAAGGAATCTTTCAATATTATTGAAACTTCATTATCAGCTTTTAGAAATGATTCTTTTCCATTCTGCTACTGAACATTTTTATAACTCTGACAGATGTACCAGCTGGTGGACCACACTAATCTGCCATTATTATTATTACTATATTGTTTCTGACAAAAAACAGTTTTGGCTCTCACTCTCCTTGAAACAGCTTCTTAGATGAGAATTTCATTTGAAGCCAGACTTAATCCTAGTCTTAACTGTTAATTAGGGAACTGGCATGGAACAAGTGGGAGCAGAAGTTATCTGTTTTTAGACAGATTTTGTTCTTGTATTTAGCTTTCCAACTTAAGTATCTGTAATAGGATGTGAGTTGCTGATCCATTACTGTTGTGTTTACCTAGATTTTTGTCAAAATAATCCAAGAAGACAGTTAGTAACCAATTACAGAACACAGGCAAATCTGTTATTTCATGTTCAAATGAGCCTGAATTTAATTCTTTAAGTGTGTTATTTAATAATTAACTCTAACCCATAATTAGATTTTTTTGACACCTACTCAACTGAAATAAGTGCATGAGTTTGAGGTTTTGTATGGATACATACATGTCATCAACTAACTGTGCCACTGCCAAAACCTTGTTATTAACAAACTTAAACTAATGCAGGCTTATGCCTCCATGCAGGCAAATGCAAAGAGCTTCCTCATAAACCTCTTGTGCGATACAAGCATTTAAACTTTGGGTTTGTTGACAGTTTCAGCCCTTGGGAATCTTTCTGTGGTGTGATATTTCAGAGAGATGCTTCAGTTGATTGAAATGAAGCTGTTTTTGATGTGAAAAGTTTTGATGCAGAACAGGGAGGCGGTGACCTGAAGTAAGCTTTCATTTTGTCATACCAGAAACACACACTCTTAAGAGGCCACAAGTTGGTGATGCAATAAAGACATCGATGTAGATATGTTGGTCACTGATGTGAAATACCAAACTGCTTAAAGCTTATGGTATTTTACACTTGTATGCCAACCACGTTCATCTAAAAGGATTTCTATTTCCTTATCCCTCTTTCCCGTAGTTCTCACAAAATGCAGAATAAGCAACACTGAGCAAGAGCTGTACAGATCTATTGAAGGAAAATACTAGAAGTAGGCAGGGTTTTTTTTTGTATTTCTTTTTGTATTTCTTTTTCCTTGACTTTATCAGTATGTATTCTTCTAGGAGCTGCTCACGGCCATCTTTTGCTGACTCATACAAAGAGGACCATCCCCTGCCCCTTGCTCCTTTCTGCTATCTATACAGCGCCCTTATCGCAGCTGGGATACTTCCTGTAGCAAAGGAACTTCTGCACTAGAATTTTTTGAAGTTAATTTGTAGACAATTAATCTGAGGTGCTGGAATGGAGCTTCTGAGAGATTAGTCTTTCCAGTAGAGAACAAAACAAAGCTATAAATACCACTCAGTAGTTGTCACCAACATGTATCACCATAGTCCCAAACAGGGGAAGACAAGTGCATGCTCACAAAATCCTCATTTCCCAAACTTTAAAAATAATGCATTAATGGACTCAAAGCGTACACAAAAGAATTTTTACACTGATTAGTCTAAAATGTAGAGCTGGGGAGTTGGATTTGATGACCTTTAGGAGTCCCTTCCAAATGATTCCATGATTCTGTATTTATACCAGCTGAAGTGCTAGCCAAACCTTAAATATTTACATGGTATCATTTCAGTTCTGCACGATCTTGCAAACACTTTCATGTACCGCAGCTTCAGTCACCTGTGCCATCCACGTGAGCTAAGTGCATACACAAATACCTGTGGGGCTGGTTTGGTAGGAAAAGACCTAACCATCATCAAGGCTGGCATAGAGAATTCAAATTTCTTCATTGTCAATTATGTGATAATGATGATATACACCTATTAGGTATGCTTTCCCCTAGCAAGTGCTTTCCTCTTTTTCTAAGTCTGCTGCATTTTTTTTTTCATGCACACTTTTCTCATTCTTTTTCTCCTACCCTCTCTGCCTCCTTTGTAAAATATTATTCTAGAGCTCAAAAGGACTCAGAATTTCTGTTTTTTTCCTCATCAAAAGAAATAAACCCCTGTTTGCCTCACTTGGCACACCCTTTAGTGAGGACATGGTTGACCTGACAGCTGGTATGTCAGCAAAGTTAAACAAGACTCATGGATTTTGAAGGTAAGTCCACCATAAATTAAGCTGCCTGATGAGGTCTGCAGAGAACATATTTAATGAGTTGTGTTATATTAGAGGTCTAGTGTAGCTGCAAGAGTATGTTAACTGTAATTCAGTGTGCGTTTAAAAAGTGGGCTGCTGATAACTGCATTTTTCTTAATCCCAGTGTGAGAAAAATGGTGGATAAAAGTTCAGACATAATATTCTAGTTCTTGCATTGATAAGAAATAATTTGTAATGGGTATTTTGCTGTTTCCTACCTTTATTTCTCTTCTTCCAAAGATACATCCCAGGTAATATTTAGAGATCTTTATCCCCAAACTGCAATCTGCACAGGTCTGTACAGTTGGCCTTTGTTGTTCCACAGAAGTACGAGGTGCAGAGGACAAGAGGGAATGGCCTTAAGTTGTGCCATAGGAGATTCAGGTTGGATATTAGGAAAAGGGATGTGGGCATGGGGGATTGCACTTAGTGGTCTTAGAGCTCTTTTCCAACCTTCTTAATGATTCTACGATCAGTTGAAGGAACTGCGTACTCTTCCAACCAGGCTGAATTAAATGGCAGCTAGTGATTTAGAATAAAAACTTCACTCTTTGAAATATGATAACCTTCCACAGTATTTCGACACGTTTCCAGCTGTTGGTCTTGAACTTTCCACACAGCAACAATACCCACATGAGCAGAAAACACAGCTTCCCGTCAGAAGGAATGTGGCAGCACTCCCGAAAGGTCTGTACAGCTTGTTCGTTCTTTAGGTTTCAGAGAAAAGTGCTTGTGTGTGCTAACAGAATGACTACCAAAATTATCTCCTTTTCCTTTATTGACTAAAAAAGGCTTTATATATATATATATATATATTTCTTTGTCCAGTAGGAAAATTCAGTAAAATGTTACCTGGGGGGAAGAGGGGGTAAGGGTAGGCACTGAACTAGCTATTGTTTTCTATTCTATGCTGGCAACATTTTAGCTGCAAAACAGTATTCAGCCCTAAGCATGGACTGAGCAGAACCCAGAAAAGAAGGCTGATCAGCAGTGAAGAAACTTGACAAGTAAGGGCAAGCTGATGCAATGGTGTTTGTTTGGTCTAGCAAAGCTGAGGCGAAGAAAGATGGAACAGTCTGGAACAGAGGTAGTGAACATCCAGTGATGAAACAGGATCTGGCACCAACCAGCTGTCTGCCCTTCATGACAAAGCAGTGGCTCTCAGGCAGATGTTCAGGAAACATAAAAGACAGTCCTCCTCCCCTCCCACACCCAGAGCAGAGCGTATTCATGGACCATTTTCTACCCAACCAGGAGAGCTTCAGCAGACAAAATTAACTTAAACAGCAGTGGTCCGCTAAGCATCTTCCCTCCATGTGCCCAATGGGTATCTAGGGATCTGTTTATGCAAACTACAAATCACATACTTAACTTTTTGCTGAATGACTATAAATAACTACACTGTAACTTAAGCAGTATTTACCTCACCACAATCTACCTACGAAGTCATGTCTGTTTTCAGCTCAGCTATCTGGAAGACAGAATAGAGAACACCCTCAATTTTCTCTTTATTGGCTATTGGGTAGGATGGGGAGAGAATTCTCAACATTAAAATATTTTCCTCTCTCTTTTTTGCATGAAATCATAGAAGAATCAAGAAAAAGTGACTACATACCAGGTTAAAATGCAAATGAAATCATAGGAAAAATAAAAGAATACATGATTTGTGTTGAACAGGTGAGATCTCACAATGAAATATGATTGTTTTCCGAGGGACTGCATGTCTTAGACAAGTTGCCCTGTACCCTGAATGAGACAAGAACTTCAGCTCAGGGAAGCTTAAACAAAGAGAATAAATACTTCTGTCTTCTTCCTTCTGCTCTGACTTTGTGGAGCTGGTTCAAATGCAGTCCTCATAGCTCCAGCTAAGACCTGTTCTTCCAGCTAAAATCAATTGTATCCTGGAATTCAAGGCTATAGGTAAATTTATTTTACAGAAACCTCTCACTTAGGTACAGAATTAACTAAACAGAATTAAATATTTAAGAGAAGGGAAATGCCAATGCTGGTTTAAATTACCATGTATTTCATTTAAATTATCGTGTATTTCAAACCCAAAATTTGACAGTCTGTGGTTTTGTTTTTCTGTATGAAAAAAAGTAATGGGGCAGAAGTTTGAAAAGCTCAGCTGCTATACTTTGCTTGAGTGTGTTTAATAAGTAAATAAATTAGCAGTAGCAACTCTTGTTCTCTCTGCCCTAACTGGCCACCTGGAAGTGAGAGCTGTCACTTCTTGCCAGGTCTCCATATGGTTGTCCTCAGTAGCAAGAGAAGATGCATGCATAGCCAGTGGGCCTTTTTTGTTGGCCAAAGGAAGGCTTTTTAAAGAAAAAAAAATTACCTGTATCTCACAGCTGTAATTTTACTATACAGGATACAGTGGATTCAGCTGCAAGAGCATGCACAGCAGCTGGCTTCTGCCTGTTTCAGTGCAATCTGTCTCTGATCTTTATTCTAATGAAAAAGATAAAGGGTAAGTGTAACGTGCATTATTCCAGCATCCACTAACCCAGAAGAGCAATTTATCCAGTAACAAAACACTTCAGTAATAAACTGCAATAAGGACAAAGATAGAGTTGTTCTTGTAGCACGGCACTGAGCAACCCACACAATTGATCTCCTGAAGTGTGAGGTGAGGACACGTACAGGGCTCCAGCCATGAGGTCTGTTGCATGCAATGACACTGATGACCCATTTTAACAATTAACCTGGCTGCCTCCTAGAGTTTCAATGTAAGCTGATGTCTTCCAAGTTTTTCCCAATAGTGACACTGAGGTAAAAATATCTGCCTGACCTCCACAGGCAGTAATGTGACACCCAGAAGCAGAGGTTTGGTCTCCTTTATCGTGCAGCCTCAGCTCTGCCATACGAGTCCAAGCGATCGCTCTCACTTCACTTCCTCTTACACATCCACATGAAAATAAAGACATCAGTGTCACCAATGTGCATTATCAGCAACCTATCTCTCCTTAAATTACTGGTATTCAAGATGCTCAAAGTTCGTGGGATTTAAGCTATGGAAAATAATACTGGAAAAAAAGAAAAGAGCAGTAAAGTGTAAAAGGTAACCATTTCCTTCTGGAGCTAGAATATAAGGACATGCGGCACGGCTCTGACTCTTTTCAAAAGTTTGATTTACAGCAATTCACAGTATGTGATTGGGAAGCTGAAAAGGCTTTTCATAGTTGTGGGGATCTTGCATAACTCGGGATACTCTGGGCAGTTCTTAATTAGTCCACTAGGATTTGCTCTGCGGGACACTATGCATCAAATAATCAAGAGCCAAGTGTGGAACAAAGGAGCAAAGTGCAAAATACACACAAATAGACTGCTGAGAAATCATTTCTGTTAGCAAAGCCAACCATAATTTTAACTTTAGGGCTGAATACCTTCTAATACTGGGAAGGAACAAATCAGAAATTGGAACAACTGCGCTGGCAGACAAAAGACTAAACCCATTAACAGGGCTATCCTATTGATTGCAAAGGCAAATGGACTGGCAATAAATCCTCCTGTGCTACATCAAAATGCAATTCCCCTAATCTTCAAGACTCTTTTAACGTTAAAATGGTTTGCATCTCAATTTTTAAGGCTTGTTTTTAAAAATCTAGGCATATTCTGAAAATCTTGCTCATGGGGCATGCAGTCTTGGACAAGAAACCTGATCTCACCTTTGTGAAACAACATTGTTTTGATTACTTCACAAAGAATGCCTATGCTATGTAAACTCATGAATTAGAACTTGTATAATGGCCCCAATTTCTAAATGTTCAAAGGAGTGCTTACTAGTCTGTTCACTTCTGCTTATATGTAAATTGTATTAATTCAGGCCAGAATGCATAGGCATGACATCTGATTTGCCCACATTGTGTGGGAATCTATACAGAAAGGTCTCTGGGTTTACATTTGGGAAAACTTCACTTCCAAACACAGCCTAAAATTGGAGCAAATCTAACTAGCTGATCCTGAAGGATCCTGAAAAGCCTTGGCAATAAAGGCTTTCCTTATGATCAGTTCGGTCAAAAATTGTTACTGCTGCCCAGAAGTATGCTACATACATGCTAGAAGTGTGCTGTTTTAAGTTCTTCACGTGACATGAAAGGGAATTCTTTGAATTCTTTTACGAATGTATAAAATTATTTCACTGCACAAACCTTACAGAATAATTCAGTAATTAGGAGAAAAGTAACACTGAAAGCAAAGATGCATCAGTGGGGTCAGGATGGAGCCATACTGTAGAACATGGAATTAATGCAAAGTAGCTCTGCTCTGAAACATCTGGTGGAATTTTAATTGCAAAGCCTGTGCTCAGCATGGTAACACAAACAAAGTGATGACATTGGCTTCAGCCTCTGGTGGCAAGCTGCCTGCTAACAGGCTATCAGTGTAACCACTTCTGAGCATTAGGAGACTCAGCTAAGCTTCCAGACTCCTTTTAACAAGAGAGATAGGCAGGTATTGCAAGGGAAGAAGGTACATCTGAAAAGGATTGATGGTAACACAATGGAATTTGTAACATAAAGGAATTTTGCTGCTTGAAGAAAGACTGAGCACACAAATTAGAAGTGTGAGAGTTGTGTAATATTAAAGCAACAACAAAACATGCAACAGATGTCTTCAAAAACATCCAAAAGGAATGTATCTAAATACCATGAAACTGGGCTACCACTTTTGGGCCCTAAATCAAGAAAAAAAATATTTATTTGTCAGAAACATTTTTTACTGCTAGAAATCCCCTTATCTTGCTTTTTTTATATATAATCTTTTTTACTGGCCTTCAAAACAGACAAGGACAAATAGCTTTATCTTTAAAAATCCTTGCAGCTTTTTAATTCCTGGCGAGACGGTGATTGCAACTCCTGTCTGTTTTGCAAGAAAGTGAAGCCAGTGATTCATCCCCTCACATCAGCACACAGCCAGAGCCTTATGAAGGTAATTCAGTACAAGAAAGACCACCTGCAACAAAGGACAGGCTCTCTGAGCTGAGTGTTTTACTTGTCTTAACGTCAATCTGTTTCTTCAAAAATAAGTGTAACTACAAAAGGTCACTTTTTTTCCAAATAATAAACCCCCAAATTTGGCCAGGGAAGACAGGAAATATTGCACATTCCACTTATAATAGAGAAGATTAGAGTGGGAAACAGTAAAATGAAAATAGCTTGGGGCATTAATCAAAAGAATGCTGAGTGAACACTGGAATCCTTTTGTCTGATTATTTGTATATTTTTTTTCCTGTTTCTTTTTTCTCCTAGCAAGGTCTATTGGTAACATTTAAAAAATTGTCCATACTCAGAAGATGCCCATCTCTACTTGTACCTTGCAGCATGGACAGCATTGAAGAAAGAGCTTGTAACCGCATGCAAACAATGTAGGTGAGGCAGTGAAAAGGACCAGGCAGCTGACAGGTAACAGAACAGGCAGATGATAAAATGAAAAGATGAAGTGCTGATGCTTACATTACAATCTATCTTAAAAACTTGCAGTGGAGAGAAACTAAGTTTTCCATAAAAGAAGGATTAATCTTAACAGTGTGTAAATAAGAGTGCAGTTGTACAAGACCAAGCCAGTCTCTCTGCTTCTGGTGCTTAGAGGGACATTTTCCGTTCACCTCTGCCACTTCCTTTTCTCTCCTCTCCTCACATGCTCCGTATTTGCATTTTGTGATTATGACAGCAAAAAAACCCTAACCCAATTAAGTACTGTTTGCCAAATTAGGGAGCAGAATTGCCTCACCAAGGGGGCCAGATAAGCAGTGGATCCAGTCAAATGCTGAGAGCCAATGAAACAGGGTAGGAGGAGGCATGCTGCAGGGAGCAGTGAGATATATTTAGAAGCCTAAATTTAGACATTTTGTTTAATTGCCTAGCATTTTGGAGCTTGTAGTCACTCTCATTTGTAAGTAATAATCACTCTGTTTCAAACAGCTACAGCAAAAGTTTGTATGACAGAGAAGATTGAAGTGGCAAAGGGTCTAATTTATTTTTGTAAACAAAGTCACTCAACTTTAACCAAATAAAAGAAACAAAGGGACTTAAACTCAATTTTTTTAACTGTTTCTGCAGAGTATGTGGTTGACTCTGTGCTGTTTCAGATGGTGAAGTTTGAAAAAAGAATGCCTACTTTTAGGGCTCACAAACACTGTCATTTCCTGGGTTTTGGTCAAAGCCACAGAATGACTGTCACACAAATCATTGCACAAGCCCTAAAGATAGTTCATTTCAAAACAAGCACAGATGTGGTCCCACGTTTCTCATTTTGTACAGCATATGTTCAAAAGGAACCAACATAAACCCTCAAATGCTCGGTTGGAAGCGCCATCTCTGTGACAGTTAATGGCCTTATGCCTAGCAATGACTACTTCCTTCGGATACAGTTGTTCAGTGTTGACCTTTAAGGAGCTCAGTACGTGCTCTTTTGTTCCCTGAGTGAAGTGCATGAGCAATACACTTTGGGTGGACTTACATGGCAAGTGCTTCAACTCATCCCACACTCCAGGATTAACCTGTTAACAAGCACAAAGCTGATAAGCAGGCTCCATATTCACTGAGATTAAACAGCAGTTTTTATTGCAGCTCTGTTATGTTCTAAAACCATTTCCTGTGTATTTGGCTTTCTTTACTATGATGTAAGTTCAGTTTTGATTTGTTTAAGAGCATTTAACTTGTTTATTCTTCAACCTTTTTTTTTTTTTTAGTTGAATTACATTTCCTAATTTGTATTTATGTGGAAATATTTCCTAAGTTGTATTAAAGTGGAAATATTATGCAAAAAAAGCAGATTTGCTAAAACTGCAGGAGTACTTGCATGAGTCTTAGGATGCCTTAGGATGCCTTAGGATGATGTCCTAAATGGGTCCCTCACAGAAACACCTACAGTTTTACAAGTTTTCAGAATTCAGAGGGTGAACTTCTATTTTGAAATTCCCAAATGGGCATTTTTTTCAATAAATATTTTTTCAAAACCATAAAATAAAATGTCCTCCTCTGAACTGCCACCATATGTGTAAAGGTTTGATATTGATGCCTCTTCAGCTCTCATCTATTACACGTTCCTAAAGGCAATGTTCTAATTTCCTGACAATTTATGAGTGCATTTCTTGGAAGAGTGATTCTTGTCTCCAGTAAATTCAATGTATGAGGGAGCTTCCAAGGCAGTGTAGCACCAACTGAAATCAGCAGCATCTGCATCACACAGTCCATTTTTTTAATTAATGTGTGAGACTGACTTCAAGTATGTTTACCTGAAAATGCTGCTAGGGTTATAAATAGAGCACTGTGGATATTTGTAATTAGTGACTAAACACTATTTCTATCTACCAGCCAGTCTCTGGGTCATATTATCTTTCTAAGTGCAATTACAACTTCATA